TCCCTATCGGCCCGGTCTCGGCTGTTCGAGATCTCTAAGGGAAACATTTGGAGATACACTTTGAACCCTCAATCCAGAATGTCTACGTACTCGGAGCCCGCAAGTAGGTAAAATCATGACCCAAAGCCCCCCAATAAAGAAAGCCAACACGGTCGTAATTCCGCATCCTCTTGGGGCTCAGGTAGAGATTGATTTGTTACACTTCAGAGCCGTAAACCCTAAAATCCCAAGCCTGTATGATACCTGTAGTCTCCTAAGGAATTAGTTTTAACTACTATTATGGCACAAGCCTAGGGAATAAGTTAACAATAATTGTTTTTCAGATCTAAGGAGAGAACCCTAAATCACTAAAACCCTAAGCCCTAAACCCTGGAACCCTAAGCCCTTTATGATACTTGCTGCGCAGAGGTGGAGTATTCGGGCCGCCAGCACATGATCGCTACTGGACTTTCCGTGATTTTTTCGTTTTTGTGCATATCCGAGCTATAGTCTAAGCACCTTAAAGGGGGCTTATGTAGGTGGTTATTTAGGGGCCTAGATTCCTTAAAGGGGAAGATATAAAGGATCATATAGGGAGAGTATTATAGGGTTTATTAAGGGGGATGCTAGGAGTTTAGATTATAGCTCATATAGTCCCATGTTTGGAGGTGATCTTGGGATCATCTAGGAGTCTACTCGGGCGATAAAGGGTTGGAAGGGTTTAAGGTTTAAAGGGTTTGAGCCTTCCACAAGTAAACAGGGAAGCTTATGCAGCCTCTTTTCAAGAATCGACGGTCTTCCCAAAGGGTCCATGTACACAATAATTAGGTACTTGGGTTTGGGTAATAGTAATTATAGTACTGGCTTTGGGTAAGTATATGATTATTAGGTACTTGGACCCTGAGGGCTTTAGAGGGGACCGACTTTGGGACTTCCATGTTAGTCTGCTGGAGCTCAACAGAAGCCGCTTTGCCTAGGGGCACTTCTCTGGGTCACTTCTGTGGGTTTAGGGTTTAGGGTTCCATGTGTTGGGATTTCCAAAAAAAGTTAGGAGTCCATTGTTTTGGGGGTCTCGATTAGGAGGGGTGTAGTATACTGCGGGTCAAGAAGCGGACCCCGAATTTCCGAAACTACCATGTAATAACATGGATCAAACTTCGATGGTTTTGGATATTTGCTATGTACATCATCTCAAGTAAGCAACCTCAATGATTCCCTTTTCTATATATAGACCTCAAGCACAAAACCCTCAGACTCGTACTTCCATCTCCAAACCAAATATTCTTGACCAGGCAGTCAGCTCAGACTCCCCAGTACCCAGTGCCCTCTACAAAGCTCCAAGCCCCACTAAGTAGAACCTACATGGATCCTATTTGAGGCTTGTTGGGGTGCCCCCCTGTACCCTCTACAGAACTCATGAACCTAAAATAGGACTTTCAAGATCCTTCTTAAGTTAGCTCACCCCCCCCTTATAAAACCTAAAAACCTGTAAATAGTAAACTCTACATCCATTAAAGGGTAGTTGGAGTGTCCTGCAGGTTGAGGGTGGCATGTATGAGACCTACTTCATCCGAGCTGTCCCAGGCTCCAAGGCCAGCTGTGCCGGATGTCCCAAGTTTTGTTTGGGTTAGGGTTTAGGGTTTAGGGGCTTTATAGTGTTCAGGTTAAGGGTTTAGGCAATAGGTTCAGAAGTTCAGAGTCTAGGCAGCGGGTAAAGAAATCGAAGTAGGGGTGTTAAAGGTTCAAGAGTTCGGGGGTTTAGGATTAGTGGTTCAAGGTTAATTTTAAAGTCTCGGGAGTTTGAGGTGTATGTAATATAGGGTTTATTGTGAACTGGAATCCCGTGTAGCCCTCGTTGAAAGGGCTATCCTCGTTGGAAGGGCTATAGCCAAAACAGGGCCTCTTGTGGGTTTCCATGCTAGTATCGGAAGGGGTACGTCCCCAAATGCCGCTTTTCATTGGGACCCGAATATCCTGTGTTCAGGACACTAAGACGCCAACAGCTTCCCACGTAGAAGCGGAGATTTTTGCGGGGCACGTTTCCCTTGGATCCACGTGGTGGCTAGGGTTGACCTGAGCTTTGCGGCTTTCCTTCCTGTGACATGTTTGCTCTCGCCACCCCAACCCCGAAGAAACCTCAAGAACTATCAGCCCAAACTTCTTATAACTATTACTGTTATTATTATTACTATCATTACTATTACTATTACTATTACTGTTACTATTATTCAGCTTGAAAGAGTCCTTTGCAACTTTCAAGAGCGGCCTGTCCAGGTTCGATTGAATCGAGTTCTTCTGCTCAAAGAAAAAGGCAGCGGTGGTGAGTCTCTCGACGGTATCAGGCATGTACGCAGGTTAAGTGGTGTGGTGGTTGGCAATTTTCGCAGCAAACGCCTTAATCTTTGTCCTCCCCACGCGTCCTCAGGGACCCAGAGCGCCTGTTTTGTAGTCTCCCACCCATTCCACACTTTCAGGCCTGCAATGTTGGGATGTAAGCCGGACAGCCCAGGTTCGAGGTGAGCGTCGGGCAGCCGCTGATTGACGGTGCATATGCAGAGGCCCGGCAATGGCGTCATAAGAGGCTTGAAGATAACGTGAAATTTGAAATGTGTATGTGTATATATACATATGTGATAGTCATTTATTTATATGTTACATGTGTGATTATTCCGTTATGTTGTAGAACGACTTAATTAGTATACTATGAACTCTGAGGGGGCACGTGAAGCAACAGTTGTGTCAGTTTCCCCAATTAGGGGGACCCCCTTATAGATACTAACCCTAAGCCCTAAACCCTACACCCACCCCTAGTTTTGGGAAATCCTTTGCCTGCTCAGATTACCATCCTCGAGCACTTGAAGGGCGAAGACCAGATCATCTTCAAGCACAAGAAGAAGTGTCTGGGTTGGATTTAAGCCAGACCCTGCATTAGGTACCCCAGTAGAACCTTTTTTCCCTTTGTATTTTGGGGTCTTCTTCTTAAAGTTGAGCATTAGGAAAAGGGGTACTCTTATTATTATGGGGTTATTGGGAACCTAGTCCATTATAATGAGGTTATAGAGGGGTATATAGGGATATGTAGGGATATATAGGGATATATATATATATATGGATATATAGGGGTATATAGGGGTATAAAGGGATATATAGGGATATAAGGCGTATATAGCGATATATAGGCTTTGGGCTTTGTGGGGTTTAGGGATTAGGGTGTAGGGTTTCCCAGACTTAGGGAACCAGTTTGGGGGGTCCGTGCAATAGGGGTTATACTATTTTAGGGTCTATCCTGTGGTCTCTCTATTTCCCTAAGGGTGCAAGGACCCAAATAATAGGGTTTTAAGGCCCAAATACCAATAATATTGTAGTATTTGGGCTCTGAGACCCCATCATTTGGGTCCTTGGACCCTTAGGGCTTTGGGAAACTACTGTTTAAGCCAGATTCTGTAATTCACTGAAACTACATTTGAGGGGGGGTCGTCCTGAATCATAACTCATCCAGCAGCCCTGTATTCAGTGCCAGAATCTAAACTCCTTAAAGGGGGGTATCTAGAGGAATATATAGCAGACTACTATACGGCTTGTTGATGGAGATACTAGGGCTAGGAGTTAAGACTACAGCTCAAATAACGCTTTCGGGAGGGTCTCGGCAGACATCTGTGGATCGCAGATTTGGAGTGATGTGCATGCACAGGAAGCATTACATGAAGCGGTGGATCGTCAACCAGAAGCTCACTCGCTTCCGCGTTGACAAGCCACTTGTCAAAGTGTGAGTTTGTCATGATTACGGCTCTTTTTCAGGGAGCTCTTACCGTCAGCTGCTTTAATTTTATTGGCCGCAGATGCTTGTAACCTGCGTCAACTCAATCCGAACTTGCATCGAACATACGGCATTCTGCATAGCTGTGGCCTTGCCACCATGTTGGGCAAATGAGAGAAGCTTTCGCATTGAGGAAAACCCGAATCACCTGCAGGATCTCGAAAGGTTCGCCGGATGCTGCGGTTGAGGGTAGGGCTCCCTACCCGCTCGGCCCTAGCTCCTAGATGCAACCCTGCGCCAGCCGCTTTCATCCATGTAGCATCTTGGCCTGCAGCTTTACTGATGCAGATGCAGCTTTCCTGATCAACACAAAGCAGCAACAGATGGATTCAACATAGTCGTGTCCGTGGCTTTCTGTATGCAGCGAGCTTCAAGGAATGCGCTCAGGGATGTGACAAGTGTCAACAGGGGTGCTGCGGGCTAGTTGTTTTCACGGATAAGGTAGAATTACATACTAATCACGTAATGTTTTGTCCAAGTGGCCCTTCTTCCAGGCCAGAATGCTAATGCCGTTAACCTGCTACATTGACCTTAGGTTTACTTTTGTACCATCATTGCCAGGGGATGGGTACATAATTTTATACAGGCTTCTGTCCAACCATCGTCATGAAAGTCACGGCGTTTCGCTGCTGCTAGTGTTCCTGTAGGCATTCAGGCTGGACATGATGTCGCTATGAGCAGTATTGCTACCGACCATGCCCTTGAGGCACCAAGTAGACATTTCCACGAGTCGGGGGACCCCCGACAAAGACCTCCAAAGATTATTTTCCTTGTTATCAGAGCCCCCCGAAAAGGGAGCTCTGTTTTTGGGAAGCACCCTAATCCCTCAAGCCCTAAACCTTGAAACCCCCAAAATATACTACAGTAATTTCCATGTTCTTTTCCATTATCCCTATATAACCCCGATATACTACATAGTAGCTTCCATTTTGTTCCATTATCCTTATACTATATAAGCCCTATAGTCCCCCCTAAGTAGATGGAATATGGGGTATCTGGGGATCTTAACCCAAAGCCATATTCCATCTACTTAAGGGGGACTACACACCTTAAAACCCCCAAGCCCGTAAATTCGCAGCACCCCAAGGCCTAGCTGTCTAAGAAGGATTGGGCCGGTAGGGCCGACTGCGAAGGCAGAAAAAGGTGGCGCCCCTGGCTGCAGTCTACGTAACTGTTACCTGGACCCCAAAAGTGTGTAAAATAATGGCCTTTATGGCTGCTATTATGGGTTTTGGGCTATTATTTTACATACTTTTAGGGTATAGGTAATCATTATAGTATATGGGGCCAGAATGTGGGGTTCCATGCTGGATTGTAGCGTATTTTTGGGGGTCGCTAGTTCCCATAGATCCCGGGCCCCATGCCCGAAAGCAATTCGGTGGTTAGGGTGCGCGACTTAGAGCTTAGGATGTAGTGTAGTATTAGGGTTTAGGGTTGAGGGTGGGGATCCAAATAGCCCAATATAGGTAATGTTTACAAACTTCAGGGCCCAATATAGGTATATTTGTATACATGGATCCCTAGTGTTAGGGTTGTGTTTTTGAATCTGGGCGTGGTTGCTGTAAGAGTTCGGGTCGTAATGACTGGGGCGTCATCACAACGTTCTCATAGAGCAAGTTGTGATGAACATCACCATGTACATTCATGCACCCACACCCCGGATGTATCAGGATTCTTGGAGAATCCCAACATACTAACTTCAAAGCACCCCCCGCCCGCTCCCTACTATCAGATACCAGTGGCCGTGTAGGAAGGGAGTACTAGGGATGGCTAGGGACTTTTCAACTGTACCCATTGCGAGATTATTGTGGTAATATTAGGATTATATAGGTTATATATTGAGGTTATATCAGGCACATTATATTTATTGGGATTACATAGGGTATAGAACTGAGGCCTTTTGAGGGCTTCCCGAAGCTTCTCAAAGCTAAGCAAAGGTCTATTTCAGGAGTGCAGCCTTTGCAGCTAGGAGTATTGCTGTTATCATTGGTAGTGCCCTCGCGTACTACCACTCTTGTTGCTAGTTTGATGTTTGCTTTTGCCATCATTGTTGCCGCTAGACTTTCATTACAAGTAGAAGTATAGGCCACATTAAGTAGATATGATATGGCTTTGGGTATATGATCATAAGATCCCCATATACCCCATATTTTATCTACTTAAGGGGGACTATACCCTAACCCCTAAACCCTAAACCCAATATTGTATCTACCTAAGGGGGACTACTTGGAGGTCCATTGTGCGTATGACCTACTTAGTAACTGTAGTTATAACCTAAACATACGTTCCATAATTATAGTTACCCTAGATATAATTGGGTCATAACTACACTTACTAAATAGGTTATAAGTACAATGCACCTCCAAGTATAGTATGACTCTTACTTTTACGATCTTCAGATTGGAGGCCATCCGAGTGGACCACTGGAATTGGTGGTGACGGCCCCAGAATTATTAGCATGATGCATGTCATCCGTATGGAGTCTTGAAATCATGTCAATAAGAGTGGTATATATATATACACATTAAGAACAGTATTAGTAGTTGTAGTAATAAGCAGCAATACTAATTTCATGGTATTTAAGAGGGGTAGGAGGGGGAAGGAAATCTTCTTACGCAAGGGCCAAGGGCCAGGGATCACCTGTTGACCCATTGAGGTGAACATCGCTGTCCCCGACAGGCTATGCTGCCAGAGACAGACGATGTAATCCTAGTGCCACAGATGGCCCCGGCATGCTATCATTTGAGCCCTATTCTAAACTCCTTAACAGGGGTTTATATAGGGGATTATGTAGGGGACTACTATAGAGGTTATTAAGGGGTATACTAGGAGTTTAGACTATAGCTCATTCGGGCACACCGTGTGCTCAATATAGAAAAAATCCGTGTGGTTGTAGTTGTTACAAGAACAGAACCTTACACGGTTCATGTGTTCAACCACCAGCACACGCAACCCTGAACCCAAGCCCGATAGCATTTTACAAGCCCGTGTCCGCTTCTACTTCCATTTGATTTTCCGTTGTTCCCTAAGAACCTGCACGCTAAACCCTAAGCCCCCGAACCCATGTGTCTCTAAGGCACGCCTGCCTTGCAAGTCCCATCCCCAGAGCGTCATGCGATATTTCAGCTCGCCTGGGGCTCATGAGTGGAAATTTATCTCTGCCTGTGAGTCCTGATCAGGGAGAGTGAGCACGTTGCCGGTGGATGAGAGGGCATGGGTCTGTATAGTTTTACCTAATGATTAATAGTGGTTTCCCTTTTCCCCTTCCAGTATCCCAGTATTACCCCAATATACTATAGTAGTTTCCATTTTCTTCCCATTATCCCAGTATTACCCCAATATACTATAGTAGTTTCCATTTTCTTTTCCATTATCCCAGTATTACCCCAATATACTATAGTAGTTTCCATTTTTTCCATTATCCCAGTATTACCCCAATATACTATAGTACTTAGGTGTGCTTCTCCACTCCCGCCTAAGCTTCGGTAAGATGCTAAGGGTATTAAGATGAGTTGTCATCAAGCTGAGCATAATCAGCTGCCTAAATCAAATCCGCACCCCCTGATGAGTAATGAGATTTAGGATTTCATGTTTAGGTGTTCAATGGAAGTGGCAGTGCATTAGGAATATTAATAGGGGAGGGGGGACTTCCTTGTTTGATAGGCAGTTGCGTCTGGCAATCACTACAAGCTTTACGGCGAATGACAATTCCCTAAACCATACGCATTGCATAGCTTTTACAACTCCGAACCTTGAATTCAAAGCCGTAAACGCTACTATAAATCAAAGATCCCTAAATCCTCCACCCCCTCATTCGCTTCGGTGCCAAGGCGACACTCTGTGTGGGTCAAGAGGGGATTACGGGACATGCCGTATGTGTTCCTGCCTCAGAGGGGTTTCATTCAGAGGGTCCGGTTTCGAGCTCACACAAATGGACCCTGGGATGCATGCGTTATACATGGTGTACGTAGCGACACGTAACGGTATGCATGGGGGACAATCATGAGAATCGAACGGAACATGAAAAGCCAATGGAAACTGGTCTCATCTAGTGGTTTACTAAGATGTTTGTTTTGTTTTTAAGTTGGGAGTCCCTCTAGAGGGGATCCAGGAGTTGCATAGGTCTTCGGGTTTCCAAACTTACGGGTCCCTTTGGGAGTCCCTACAAGAAGGAATATGTTGTATTTGGGTCTACATTTGGCCGCCTGTTTATGGTAATCCCCCCCATCTAATTAGAAGTTGGTGTTATAAAGGTTTGGGAACTGCGGTTGAAGTTTTGGGCGTTGGAGATTTGTTTGCTTCAGCTTCGGGACCTTAACGTCTGTGGTTTAAGAAGGTTTCATGATGTCAGGTTTGTGGTTTGAGGTTTTGGGGATCCAAGGCTTAAGGTTGGGGTTGGGGGCATTAGGAGGAATTGGGGGTTATGCTACATTATGCTATGTTATACAAAAATATACTAACTTATACTACATTGTACTTATAAACTTCATTTTACTATACTATAACATATTACCTTATACTATAGTATACTCCTAGACCTTCCTCCTACCCTCTATTAGGGCCTAAGTACCCACTATTAAGGACCATATATCCCCAATTAAGGGTACAAGGGAGGTCCTGGCTATAGTAAGTCCTCCCCTACAATTTTATGGGACATTACCCCCCCAAAAAGGAAGGACATCCAGGGTCCAGGTAGCATACTATGGTAAGTCCTCAATCACCAAACCTCACCTCGACAAGTCCTGGTTTCCCCCATCAAAATCTTCGGCCCCAGGTCTGCAAGCCCAAGACTGCGCAAGCATCAAAACCCTGGTCCCTCAAACGTATAATAGAGTAGAATGTAGTGTATAATAGTATAGTAAAATATAGTATATTCTAGAAGACTAGAGTATAGTATAGTCTAGTATAATATAGTATGGTTATAGTATACTATAGTATAGTGATTTTTGGGTT